TACCCCAGTCACTGAATCAGTCCATCTCATTGAGGGTCTTCCTCTCCTGTGCTGTTCCTCCACCCTCCCAAGCATGACGTCCATTTCCAAGGATTGGTCCCTCCTTGCAACATGTCCAAATTTTGTCAGATGAAGTTTCAGAATCCTTGCTACCAAGGAGCAGCCTGATTTCACCCTCTCCACGACAAATCTGTTTGTTTTCTTAGCAGTCCAACACCACACCTCAAAGGCATTGATTTTCCTTCTGTCATTCCTTAGTCATTGTTCAGCTCTCTGATGCATAGCAACCTTGCTTACTGAAACTGAGGAGGACCTGAAGCACTTGCTGCAGAAGGTCAAGGACTGCAGACTTCAATATGAATTGAAGCTCAATATCAAGAAAACAAAGATTCTTACCACTGAGCTGACTGGAAGCATCATGATAGATGGTGAAGAGATTAAGATTGTTAACAGCTTTAGTTTGCTCAGCTCTACAATCAATACTCTTGGCACCAGCAGCCGTGAAATTAAAAGACATATTGCATTGGGAATGTCTGCTGTCAGAGACCTCTCCAGAAACTGAAGAGCAATGATGTCAGTCTGGAGACTAAGGTGCACCCGATACAGGCCATGGTCTTTGCAATTACTTGCTATCCATCAGAACCACCCCACAGAGTTTCCAAAACTGTAATAGTCATAGAAGTAGACCACCTCATCTTTCTCCAGAGGACAGACTGGTGGGTTTGAATCGCAGACCCTTCAGTTAGCAGCTGAGGACTTTAAACACTGTGCCACCAGTGCTCCTTTGGAAAGTACTATAATATAAAGAGTAATGTCCTTCTAGAAGTTGAGGACAATATTAGGATTTTGGCTGAGTTGTAGTGTTAATATTTTTTACCCCAACACCCAGCTCTACCTTCCACTAATTTCTCTGGTATTGTCACAGAAACTCTTGTCATAGAATTGTCTATGAGCACAGGTTTCAGTTTTATTCTCTCTTCAGTTTATCATTCTCTCTTGAACCCACTTTAGCCAGTCTTTCTCCTTTCCCTCTCTCCTCTGTGAAGCACCATTCACATGATGGTTGAAAAGCTCCACACTGCCAAACCAAGCAGGTAATTTTCAGTCTTTGTATCACTTATGTTCTCAACAGCAAAAATTTAGTGAACTATGCACTTCCTTCTTGAAATAGTTTCTCAGCCTCCTCTTGCTTCTCTTCTGTCTCCTTATCCTACTCATTCTTCTGCATGGGATCCTTCTCTCTTTCCTCCTTCCATATGCTGAATGAAGCATTGTCAAGTGCCAACCCTGGACCTCTTCTCATTGTCTCAGCTCTGCAATTTCTGTTTCCAAATGTGATGCCTACCCTTGAACTCATACCTTTTTTTCTACTGCAAATACTTGTGCTGAGTACACATTTAAAACTTCATGTCCAAGAGCAAACCTCCAAATTCTCTCCCTTCTCCCCATTGGTATTTTTCCCCATCTACAAACACAGAACTACGATTCACCCAGCATCCTTGACTCATCCTTTTTGCTTTCATCCTATATGAAATATGCGAGGAGCTAGA